GGATACCAGTCCAATACATTATGCAATTGTAAAACGGGGACGGAAGTTATTTATGGTGGACATAATTCCTTTGATTTTTTGGACGGAAGTGGTCAAAACGGGGACGGAAGTTATTTATGGTGGACATAATTCCTTTGATTTGATTGGCTTCGATTATATGCGGGCATATAATCCTCGCTTCCCATTGGTCGATTTATGGTGACCATAAATATGTAGTCATGTATTCTTGATTTTTGTCCACCGTGGCCAACCATGGTTGGCCACGGTGGACAAAAATGCGTCTAGACGGTCAAAACGGGGACGGAAGTTATTTATGGTGGACATAATTCCTTTGATTTGATTGGCTTCGATTATATGCGGGCATATAATCCTCGCTTCCCATTGGTCGATTTATGGTGACCATAAATATGATTTATGGTGACCATAAATATGATTTATGGTGACCATAAATATGTAGTCATGTATTCTTGATTTTTGTCCACCGTGGCCAACCATATACGCGGGCTATAGTTACTAGAGCTAAGTAGTAGCAGGAGTGAAGGCAGCGGCGGCGTCGGCTGCTGTAGTGATACTCTCCCACACAACTTAAAGTTATAATTCGTGTGCATAATTCGTAAATATATATGTATTTGTTTGTCATGATTAACCCCTGATATATATATATATATTCGATCGTATCCATAAATCTTCTCTCCCATAATTCCAAAACTACCCACAAGATAAATTCCACCGATTGAAAATCATTGCCCTCTATTCTTGGCGGTAAACATTTTGGGTCTTAATTTTTGCCATGCAGAATATCGCAACCTCGTTATCTTCGGAGCAGTAAACTGTGCCTTGGCATCTAACAAGGGTTTCTGCAAGCAGTTCGGCATCCAGTTCGTCCCTAAAATCATGGTATGTTGTGGTGTGTTCTCCGTGTGGTGCAGTACACGTGTGTGTATATGAGGGCAACATAAAGGCCCAGCAATTTCGTTTCCCCGGGATGAAGAGGGGGAATACGTGGTGAACGTGGGTGCGTATCACGTTATCCTTAACTACGTCAGCAAGGCGAGACAGCAATTTTTGTCAAATATTTTTTATGTTGACAAATACTGGACATGCGCAAACATAACTGGCCATATGCTACAGTATATTCAGGAATACCGCGGGTCTTCTAACTAATTATGTGAAACATTTGGTGAGATATTTTTCATATTAAACTGCTCGGGAACATATACTATATGCTTTACATATATACATTTAACCATATGTTTAGCATTATGTCGGCGAAAACTGAGTATACACAAACAAAGAAATTGTCCTACACTACAGGATGGAGAAGATTGAGCGCCTTGCAATTCATAAGTTGCACCATTGGATACTATATTTTTCATATCACACTCGGTAGTATTGTGCTCTACTTTCAATTTATAATTACAACTCAGTATTGTTTGTTGGAGTATAAGAAAATGGAGGAGAGCGAGAAACCGAGCGCAAGAGAATGATAGCGATCTTGAGAAGGCTAGAGATGCCGAGAACAAGGGGGAGAGCGAGAGTGATAGTGAGAGTGGGCAGAGAGAGCTGTGTGTAAGTGGGGCAGAGAATAGCAAAATAGCGTGTATTTGTGCGTGTGTGTAGCTGCTTGCGTGCGCGCGCAAGAGAGACAGCATATTAGCGAGTGAAGCAGACAGACACGGGAACTGAGATCTACGCGTTGTACACCATTCCCGTTGCATCCTATTAGTTCTTCGCGCCCGGCAGTCAACATGACTCACTGGACGCAGACTCACAGCTCTACGAGCCTGAGTCGGACGGCATGGAGGAGGTTGTACTGAGCCGCTACATCAAACACTACATCGCCGAAGTTTACCGGACTCGCGCACGGGGCGTCGGCAGCAGTGCACAGCAGGCGGCGCTGCGGCGCATGCTCGGCGTGGCGGATACGGACGCATACGACGCTGTGTAAGTTAAGGCAGGAAGCGCATCCGCCGGCGACGCTCACCCCCCCCCCCCCATTAAGCTAATACTAGTATAAAGTGGGAATTTCTTAGCCAACTGCTTTATCGATATATTATGTGTATTCTGTAACGCATGCTAATTCACAAATGGGATAATCAAGTGAAAGCGTATAATAGGTAAACACTGATAGTGAAAACTGATATGAACTAATAAAATAAAACTTGATATTTTAAATTGTCTGCGATCACTATCTCTCTCATCTGTGTAAGATTAAACTCGCCGTCGCGCATTGAAGGGAGGAGTATTATTGTGCTCGTGAAAGATTAGCGAAAGTGAAAC